GTATTTAGTAGAGTTCTGAAATGAATTCTATGAGTAGCATTCGAGAACTTACAGACATTGTGATACGCACAAGAATCATCTTTATTTCTTGATCTTTTAAGTAAGGTTAATGGGTAAGTGATTCCTGGGCGGCGCAGTGCTTCTGTGTCAGGTAGCTGTGCTCTACAAAGCAAGTTCTAATAATGCAGTTCGAAATTTAACAGTGGGTCTTTGAGGAATGTTGGGGAATTGTGCAATTTTTAAACACTGTGTTCAGGGTTAGTAGTAAATATTACTTTATACCTACAGAGCCCTTCGCAGAAATGAAATAATGCTGGGGTATGGGTTGTAAGAGGCAAAAAGTTTCAGATAGTAAAGTCTGTTATAATGAATGAATTTCCCTACCATAATTCTTAGCTGTGGTAGGTTATTCTTGAAGACCAAGTTTTTATACGTGATGTGGCATCTTAAACATTCATCTAATACTATTCTTATGCTATATGTGCTATTTGTGACAGTCTAGATTCATGTAGGTCTTTGCCACCACCCCCCAAAATTAATTGCCCTATGAATATGTCTTGAATAGATACATGGGTTTGTCCCAAAGCGTTATGTCTTGCACTGTAAAGATGTTAATAAGAATATTGGGGGAATAAAAGAATATTGGGAAAGTTTGGAGACTGCTTTGTGAATCATATCTTTATTTTGGGACTGGACTTCCACAAATATGCTTATGTTTGTTGTGAAGAGCTAAGGGGCATGTAGTGTAACATTATTTTCTATTGTATTCAGCTGTTGAACCCCTGCTTTTTTGCACCGTATCCATGAATTTTATTCCAAAGTATATCATTGAGGAAGTGTTGCCCTCCTGAAATTCTGAATGTACCTGTGATGAAACTTCATGTTTTCAGGTATCCATGGAAGTCTGAGCAACAGTGATGTTGTTCAGAAGTCAGATGTATTCGCACATTTATTCTGCAGATACTTATTGAGTAGGTGTCATGTGTGGACTAGGCATCATCATGCTAGGCCTTCATTAGGCAGCAGTGATAAAGTATAAATAGATCACTGTTGAGCTGCCTGGACCTGCGTGTATGTGTAACAGGATGTGGATCTAGAGGCAGCACCTTATCCCGGTGTGACAGGGATGATAGAGAGCGCGAGTGCTGCACTCAGATAAACAGAGTGAAAACACAGGCATTTCACTTTCCATTGATTCCTCAGCTTCCCATACAGGTCCTTCTGTTGGGAGTTTTTTTGTTATCTAAGTTACATCCCTGTCTACTGTTTTCAATGCTTATAAATGTTTATTCTCAGCTTTACATTATATATCAAGTATACTAGTATTTATCACAAGCAGTCTGTTAACATTCATCTTTGAATCTTGCTGATTTAATTTTTTCTTCATAAAAACTTGGAATGTATACTATGTACATAGCAACCCTTAGTTGCTAAGGGTTACGGAATTTTAAACATTCTAGTGTCTGTGACCATTTTTAAAAGAGAAGGTAACAAAAAAATTTCAGATACACATGTATATATTTTTAGTTTTGAAAACATTCAAATTATTTATAGAAGTAATAGAGTAATGCTTTCACCATATGAAAATAAAACAATTCAGTGAGATATTGCACATAAAGCAAAAATTCCTTTGGATTGATTTTTCTTCTTCACTACTACTATTGATTGTCTGATACACTATATTCTTCCAATTCTTTACCCCCAGACCTAGATAAATGTCTACCCAAAAACACATAAATTGTTCTTATGCTTTTAAAAAATGAGTCACATCTTGTATTTGTCTTGAAATTTGCTTTTTCAGTCAGTACATCTGGGGACCTCTCAGATCTACGCCATACCTTGAACTGTTGCCTAGCAGTCCGTGATAGACAATATAACAGTTAAGCTGTTCTGCTTGTGATGATTACTTCCTTTTTCTTTAAACTATTACAGATACTGTTTTTAATTAATGTTCTTATACATTTTTTGTGCACCTGTATGCTTCTTTAGAGTAGGTACCCAAAGAAGAAGAATTGAGTCATAAGATACATATTTTTAAAATATAATAAAACTTGCATTTACTTCCCAAACAATTGGGCATTAAAAACTCCCAGCTTAATATCAAAAAACAACTTAGGAGGAAAAAGCAAGATTTATAGTCAAGCTGCCTAAGGGTTTCAGATTTCAGTTGCCCTTCTTCCTAACTGTATCACCATGGACAACCTTTATAACTTCTCTGGTTCTTGATGTCTTAATCTGTAAATTGAGTATAATAGTATCTACCTCATGGTTGTTTGATGACTAGGGTAGATAATCTTATGTAAAAAGCTTATGTTTGTTGTAAAGAGCTTAAGGGACATACAGTATAGCATCTAATTATTCAGCTTCTGAACTCCCATCCCCATTTTTCCCCCACTATATCCATGAGTTTTGTTCCAAAGTATGTATGTACCAAGTCTGTCCAGAAGGTATCCAGCCATGTAATGTGAAAAATAGTGACATTTATTAAAGAAGATACAAGATACAAGAGGCATTGTACATAGGACAGTGACGCCTCAGTCCCCTTCAGAGTAGGCACCTTGGGACGTCACACAGTTTTCCCAATCATCATCGGCTGCCCCATCGTACTTTCCTTGTCATTGATGGTCTGAAATCTCTTCCCTTCCAGAGGTGATTTTAGTTTGGGAAAAGCCAGAAGTTGTAGGGTGCCAAATCTGGGCTTTAGTGGGGCTGAATCACCTGGGCGATTTGATGTTTCCCGAAAAACTCTGCACAAGATGTGATGCATGAATGGGTGGGTTGTCGTGATGAGGCTACCAATCACTAGTTACCCATAACTGTGGCCTTCTGAATCATCTGAACAGTTTCCGCAGAGGAATGTTCAAGTTTAACACAAAATTTGATGCATATTCCTTGCTCTACTCATTCAGTCATTTTGAATGCAATGATAGCATAGTGCACATGCTCACTCAACGGCATCTGCCACCCCCACTGACTAGTACAGTGAAGTCATCAGTGTTCACTCATGCGCATTCCAGTCTACTCTCCTTAGCTTCCAGGTTACGTCAGTGTGACACAAACCGTTCTCGTTATATTAACAGTGGCTGGACTTTTTCTGGACAGAGCTTGTATATCTAAATTAAATGAAAGTTTAGTGTCTACCCTAAGCCATTCTATTCATACATATTTACTCCAGAGAAATGAAAGTGGTCATTTAAATACTTGTACACAAATGTTCATAGCAACACTAGTAGAAAATAGTTAAAAACAGGAAACAGTCTTAATGTCCCTCAGTAGTTAAATGCTAAACAAATAGTTGTGAATCCATATTAAGAATAGTTGGACTTTTTGGGGGACAGACTTCGTATATTTCATAGAATGCGTACTACCTGTATAGTTGCTAAGAGTTACAGAATAGCAACACATTCCAGTTTCTGTGGCCATTTTTAAAAGAGAAAGTAAAAGAAAATTTTTGTCACATACATATGTATATATTTGTTTTCAGTTTTAAAAATATTTCAAATTATTTGTATAAGAGAGGAAATGCTTTCTTGATATGAAAATTCAGCGTTTCAACTAGATACTGTATATAAAGCTAAAACTCCTTTTGGACCACCAGTCTCAATTTTTCTCCTTCAACCAGAAGTATGTTTTCTATAGTTGACATACTTGGGACACGTAGTGAGTACTCAAACGCTAGCTGTGTAATCACCATCCTTATTTCCACTAGATGCTATATACTTATAAATCTGTGTGTACTTTCCACTTGTACCGAGCTCCTTGAAGACAGGACCTGTTTTCATCATCATGTTGCCAGCAGAATTCCTGGCACAAATCTGGGGTAACAGAGAGCACTGAAATCAGATAGAGCTGAGTTTGAATTTCAGCTCCACTTCTTACTTGAGTGTTGAGATCTGGGGCAAGTTGCCAATCCTACTGCCTCAGTTCTTCATCAGTAAACTAGGGAGAGTAGTAACACCTACCTTTTAGGGTCTAGTGAGGGTGGCCTGTAAGTATCAAATATATTGTAAGTATCGTTTCCAAGCCAGTTTGCAGACTTGCTCTATGGGCTTTGGTTCATTGTGTTACTTTTATGGATGACCTTCTGCTTGGTCTTCTCTCTGTAGGCCTCTTGAAGAAAGAGTATCTATAGAATATCTCCCACCTCTGACATTACAACCAAACATATTTTCAGTCTTTGCCTTTCCATCTACTTCATTCCTACATGACATTTTTTTCTTTGTATCTAAACAGTAGAAACAAAGTGGGAGGAAGTTCTTTGAGCTGACACATACTCCATCAATATTTCTTTTTAATTGTAACCAGTTACAGTTACTGTAAACAGAGCACATTGATTTTCTGCTGCCTTTTTGAATATACATAATAGAGCTATAAAATGACCTCTAACTATGGCTTTAGCTTATTCCATAGGTCCTGATAATATAGCATTTTAATTTTTATTCTGGTTAAGTATTTGCTGACTTCCAGTTGTGACTTAATTGGTCTGTGGGCTATTAAGAAGTCGGTTTTATAATTTCCCAGTATTTAATAATTTTCTTGTTTTTTTTTTTTTAAACTTAGTTCTAGCTCATTTTTACTGTGACCAGGGGATATTGTAATTTAGTCCAAGCCATGGCTGTTTGTTTTTGGTGTCAGCCACTGTTTTGTGTTGGTGAGTGTGCACACATATGTGTACAGTGACGTTCCTCCCCTTTACGGGGGAATGGCTGAATTTGTGGGGAGGGCAGGCTTTTTCCTCTGAAATGCCATTACGAATGGTGGTCTTTTTTGAAAACTATACAGTGGGTTTTCATGGTAGAGTTGCCTGATAGTATCAGAGTACTAATTTGGTTATCATTTCCTAGGAGTTTTCCTAAGGATGGAGAATTTAGGTTAGAAATGAACTTGTACAGTAACATACATAAAACAGAAATTTGCTGCAGAAGTTAACATTGTGTCATGAACTCTTATAAAGGTGAAGTTCGATATTTTGAATATCTTAAATTATTTTTCTTCTTCAGCTTCCAGCCGATCTTACGAAGATGCACATTACAGACAGCCCTCATCCACAGGTGACTCATGTGTCTTCTAGTCAGTCTGGTTGTAGCATCGCTAGTGACTCTGGGAGCAGCAGTTTATCCGATATCTATCAGGTAACAGCTTGGGGTTTGTGTGTTGGGTATTCTGCCAAGTGTCCTGTGCTTGTGCCTTAGGTAGTCACATGTCTTTTAAGTAAGGTCTGAAATTCAGGTATAAGGTTTTTGGGAAAATGTGCTTTACTTAACTGTCAAATTTGTAAGCCTAATTAAAGAGATGATCTCTCTTTTGAGGGTCTTTAAATATGGTCCAACAGTGTATGAATCTAGTGTTCATTTTAATTTCTTGTATCTGGGGAAATCCATGTAATGCTTGCTTTGGTAAAAAATGAAACAACTGAGCTTAAACATATAAAAAGACATTTTTATTATGACTGTATTAGTCTTCTATAAGTAAAGTTGTGAAGAAAATTAGAGTTGCTTTTGAAAAGGCAAATACTTTTCACTAAAATGAAAAGTATTGAAAAGGGCCTATTAAATTTTCTAGTAGCCACATTACAAAAAGGAAATAGGTAAAGTGTATTTTAGTAATATATTTTATTTACTACGATCTATCCAAACACTATCACTTTAACATGTAATCAGTATTTTAAAATTATGAATGAGTTACTTTATTTTTTGTACTAAGTTGCCAATAGTCGGAGTTTATTTAAACTGACAGCAACATCTCGATTCAGACTAGCCACAGCTCAAGCGCGTGGCATTCGCATGTGGTTAGTGGTGACCATATAGGACTGATCTGTTGAAATTGAATCGTTGTCTGAGGAAACATTTCAGACGGGGGCTCTGCTGAGTTACCCACATTCAAGTATTTTAGGAAGGTCAGCGTTCCTTCATCTTAGGGGAGGTGCGTAGGTGGATGCAGGTGGAGGAGGCCCCTGTGCTGGGGTCACGCATAGTCTTCTGCACAGAGCCTGGCAACCAGCACCGCCCATCCTGACATTTTATGATCGACAGCGTAAGGAATTCTCCCTGTTAACTATTTTATAGTAGACAGAACAGGAAGGTTTTTAAAAGTAAAGTTAAAAACAATCCATGGCTCTGGGAGCACTTACTGTTTTTGTTTAGTTGTTGGACTCCATGCATTCTGCCCTTCACCAAAAGAAGCACCTTAGGTAAGAAGTAACAGGTGTTGCACATCTCAAAGTCCAAGTAGAGTCATGTCTTCTCTGGGCTCTGTGTTTTTTCTAGAGAAGAACTTTGAGGGAGATCGACCCTGGATTAGTGCAGTTAGGGGTGTGGCTGTAGGTTTCTCCCAGGATAAGTGGGAACGGCTAGACCTTGCTAGAAGAGACTCTACACAGGGATGTGGTGTTAACAGACTACAGATGACCTAGTCTCGCTAGTATATCTGTTTCTAAGCCAGATGCGGTCACCTTTTTGGAACAAGGAACAGAGCCCTAGATGACTGAGAAAAGGGTAAGAGGATAGCGCACAGACTGATATTCAAGGTCTCCCTCCTTTACTCTGAACTAGAGATGGGATGCGCACAGTTATCTTTGGCAAGGCCATAGCGGGGATTCTGGAGCGTCGCACTTACCTTAACATCTACAGGATGTTCACCTACTGGCTCGCCCCGCTGAGGCTCGGGCTGAAGTACCCCTACCAGTGTGGCTGGAGGTCCTTTGCTGCAGGACCATAGCCGTGTAGGTGCCCGACCTGCCCCAACCGCCCATTTGTTTTCCTTCCTCAGTAGCACTCTGTGCACATCACTCCAGCTTTTAAGAGTTTCATTTTAATATTGGATAAACTGTGGACAGGTATCGTTGCCAGCTGTCCTGCATGTCAAAGGAGTACCTCCATCACATAGTGAAGAAGACACCTTTCCATATCCCAGAAACCTGGGAGTCACCATTGGCTGTCCTCCCTTGATCATCACATTCAGCATCAAGTCACACCAGTTCTGCATCCTGCACCATTCATTATGTTTGTGTGTTGGTATATATATGTTTAATGTTAACTGGGATGTAATTTACATCTAATAAAATTCATGCTCTTTAGTATAGTCTCCATAAAGACAGAGCATTTCCATCACTTCAAAAAATATTTTATGCCCTTTTGTAGACAGTCCCTTCTCCTTTCTCCTAACCCTGAGCCCCTGGCAACCACCAGTGTCTTCTGTCCTTACAGCTGTGCATTTTCCAGAATGTCATGTAAGTGGAATCATATATTTAAATTATAACACAGTGAAACTTATATAGTAACCAATACGATAAAGTAACCAGTAAGCCTTAATGAATTTAGGGAGAATGGATAGATAAAAGGAGCAAAAATAATGAAATTCTAGAACCAAAACAGGAATTCAGACATTTAAAAGAGAAAAGTGTCATAATACCAAAGTCAAATATGCAAAAATATGAGGTAAAATATTTTAAGAGTAGCCAAAACAGGTAAAACATTTTCAAAATGAGGCTTTAGTTGAGCTTAGGACAATAGCCAAAGGATAGAAACAGTTTAAAGATTAAAAAAAACAAGCAAATAAACACAGATGAAAACAGAAGGAAAATAAACCAGAATCTTTAAATAAATATATATGCACTCATACGTATACGTACTTGGTATTTGAATACATGGAATGCAAATCTGAATTCAAGAGGAACAAATGGGAACCATGTTTATCTTCTGGTGGTAGGTTTGTGGGTACTTTTTATTGTGTTCCTTAAGCGTTTGTCATGTTTTTCTCAATGAACATTATTATTTCTGTATTTAACAGATTTAAAAGAGGATGTAAATAGGGTATACAGTTAAAAATAAAACGAATAAAATTGTAGGAAAATATCAAAGAATAATTAGTAGGGGTTAAAAGGAATAAGAACAAGAATAATAGGTTGATAAAATCCTCCACAATGCAAAAAATCTAGGCTACTATAAAAAAAGAAAATAGATGAGCAAAATGACACCAACCATTATCATATATATGCAATCAGATCCTCAGGACTAAAGCAAAGGGAAGAAAAGAAGGCTTCAAAATCAGTGCTGTATTCTTAGTCTTTTCCTGACTCCAGCCCTTCTTTGGGTACCCATTAAACCTTTAGTTACAGGTGTACATTCCCATTTTATATACCTTGGCCAGCAACAGTTAAAGTGATTTGTCTGGTTATTCGAATTTCTCAGCGTTTGGGAGATTTCAGAAGGGGACATCTAACCCAGTCATGGCTTGCAACAGTAAAAGCAAAGCCTTGTGAAGTAATGCAAGTATTTTTAATTTTTAATTTGGAGGGTTGAGGGTGGAAAAAAAACAGTAATCTTAACAGCAATTCTTAATAGGAAAATTATTTGCACCATTTTATATGGCCAAACATGTGGCTGTGCTCCTATGCATTTCCTCCTTGGGAGTTTTCCTGTTTTCTGATTTAAAAATAAAAGCCCTTCATTCTCAGAGAAACTTCAAATAAAGCAGTTACAAGAGTCTAGGAAAAAAATGCAAGTAATGGCTTTGTTGTGAATATGTTTTTAATCAGGTCAGCTTAAAATTTAGCTAAAAGTATGCATTTATATGTTAGAATGTTCTTGAGTAAGGTATTTTATGTATTCTCAAAGAATGCGTGGATGAAATAGGAGTGCTTCTTTCTAGGTTCCTTTTTCTATTTCAGTCGTGTTCAAGAGCCGGGACATTGTGAAATGTTGATTCTTGAGCTAAAGCTCTTGCCTTTTCATTAACTTGCCTTTTCATTAACTTGCAGTCTTACACCACATAACATTTTGATCAGCAATGGACAACACATGCAGCAGTGGTCCCATAACATTTTTATACATTATAAGCAAAGAGCTCATTTGCGATGTTGAAAGAAAAGGCCAGATCTAGGTGGTTTAAATTAAGGAGAAGGCCCAGCATGCTCTCTACTCACACTGTGCCCACCCAGAGTCGGCAAGGGAGCGAGGGGAGAGGGCTGGGGAGGAGGGGAGCGCTGGAGCCCACCCCTGCACATGGGCACATGCACCCATGCTCCTGGGCACTAACTTGCTTCTCCACTCTCCATTTCTGTTCATCTTTCCCCCTAGTTCAATTCCTCCCTTTTTCTTTCCCCTCTCTCTCTGCTTCCTCATCCCTTCTATTATTTCTCCTTTCAAGCTTTATCTCCTGGATCTCTTTCTGTCTCCGATGGCCCTTTCTGTTCCTTCACTTCCTTCCCCTTCTCCATCTCCCCCCCCCCCCCCCCCCGCGAAAACTACTCTCCTTCCAATGGTGCTTCCTCCCATGGCCCTCCTCCCAGTACCTCCCCCATGTACTGCCCTTACAGCTGTGCATTTATGTGCATATGCACACACACTTTTATATCGTATTTTTACTTTACCTTTTCTACTTTTATATATGTTTAGACACACAAATAACAGTATTTAGCATCACCTTACAGTTCCCTTCAGTTTCAGTGCAGTAACATGTTGTGCAGGCTTGAAACCTAGGAACACTAGGCTGTCCCATGTAGACCCAGTGTGTGGTGAGCTCTGCCCTCTAGGTCTGTGTAAGTCACTCTACAACCGCACGAGGACAGCGTTGCCTCACTTTCCTCAGAGCATGCCCCTGTCTTTTAGTGACACATGACTGTACTTTTAATTAACCTGAGGCACATATTTATCCCCCATCTATAATTTTTATCCTCTATATAAGACGTAAGCACATTGCTAAAAATCCCAACTTTGGATTCAGTTACTACCTCGCAGCGTGATTCCTCGGTTCAGAGCTCTGCTGCCCAGTCTCTCCAGGGCGCTGGTGCCACGTTTCCCCTGGGGTGTGCTTTTGACACCTCATCTTGCTTTGTCTACCACATGTTTTCTTCCATTTGTCTTGAGTGTTTCTGTTAAGGATATCCTTTGTGTCCTCGTTAAAACCAGTTATCTTTGTTACCTTTCTTAAACTTTTGCTTGAAATAAATTGCAAAAAAACGGGACTCTACTCCTTTATTTTAAAAGCGTCATTGCTTCACTGTTACCTAATTCACACTCTTCATTTCAAATTTGTGTTCAAGTTCGAAGCCTTTCCCTTCTAAATACAATCTACAAATTTGGTTTTATATTCCACAGTTCTCCACTTGCACATTATAGATTATGTTCCGTGA